AAACGTTGCTCATGGTTGCTTCTACGTGCTCGTTCTAACCAGGGAAAGATCTCACAAGGGAACCGTGTCGAGTCGAAGTGGCCTTTTTAGATGAGACCCATACCGCTTTGAAGGGTATTAAGCGGTGATTCCAAATCTGCCTTCCAAATCTGCCGAGCGCCTCTGGACGCCGAGTTATGACCGTTTTTCGGAACGGAAAATGAATGCAGAATTTAGGTAAAATTGATTGTTACAATCTTTCCAGCGCTCAGATAAAGCAATGTTAAGTATTAGCATATTGAATCAAAAGTATCCATTGCATAAACAGCTTTGATACTTGACACTGGACCATTTGAGCAAATTTGGGCGATTTTGCTTCAGTTTTGCGCTCAATTTTTTGACCTGAAAAACGAGCATAACTCGGCGTCCAGAGGCGCTTGGCAGATTTGAAAAGCAACTTTGGAATCATCGATAAATGCTCTTTAGAGCAGTATGGGTCTCATCTGGAAAGGCCACTTCGACTCGACACGGTTCCCTTGTCAGTTCGCACTTAAGATCTGGGACGAAATGGCACTTGCGTTTTTATGGGCTTTTACACTTACCTTCTATATTTGCTAAGTGTCTTCTCTAGAAGGTTAAGGGCTTTGAATGTTCAAACTTCGCAAGTTAATACCATACAATCAAGAGCCAGCGGTTCAAAGACAAATATTCAAGTCCGCATTAGAGGTTTTCTTATTAGTCTAAACTCAATTCATGCCGATTATGATTTTGAACTAATCCTCAAATCACAGTGCAGATGTAACTCGATGAACTCACATTTTCAAACTTTATGCTTTTTAAAAGACTCTTAAGTAACTGTGGAAGGCAGATTTGGGATTATTTCAACAAGACACACATCTAATGACATGCATTTACTCAAGACCGCCTGGCTTCCTTCCAGGGGTCAATTCCTTATTCATAATGTAAGCTAATTTTCACAATGACCTCATGATGTAACAGAGCAGTTGATGATGTTACTTGGCGATTACATTACGTGATTTAGCTATGTACAGTAAACATTTTTGTGATTATAACCATAGCATATCGCAACGCGCATTGCACATGAAAAGCTTCAATAAGCATTTTCCAAGAAAGCTGTATCCACGTAACATACATGTCAAAAAATCATTAAAGATTCTTCTCTAAATCTGAGAGAAACAGTGGTGATTTCTGGCAATATGCAGGTTTAGGAACCATCTACTCACCATAAGTCTACGGTACCTGGCATCCTACACCCTACATCCTATGCATTTAAAGCAATTTGGCATTTGGTACTGTGATATGCATGCCATATTGCCCACATGATCTGAGCTTCTCGTTTATCTGAGGTTCTCACTTACGTAGCGCGGACGAGTCCTTGTAAAAGCGCAACCCAATGCTTCCTGTAGATAAAAGACCCGTAAGCATCACTCAATGGAGCAGCTTCTCGAGTATCTAGTGGCAAACAAAAAAGGGCTCTGAGGCAAGCAAACTTCAAAGAAATCCATGTTTATCTAAAAAATATTTACCGTAGCCCTACACTAAGAAGGTGTTTTGCAAATCACATGTAATTATGATCATCAGTTCGGATAATCTTTATGGGCAGACTTTCTCAAAAAAATCGGGACATCTTTTTTCTCGTTCCTCCTTGAACTCGCCGCAGGTTTTGGCTGAAATATTAATGCTCTTAAAGGCAGCGTCCAGGCAAGAACCAGCCACCCAGATTAGCACATAGTTGTAAAGAGGGGCCCATAAGTATCCGATTTGCGTTGGTCCAATCCTTTGACGTGTCCTCTGAAAAGAGATACGGGCCTATGATACGTATCACAAGCCGCCCCTTCGTATCACAAACCACCCCTGAGAACGTGTGCTTACGCAGGTGTGCGGTTGCATTGCAGTTGCATTGTGCACTGCACACTGCATCCGTTCAGTTGCAGCTCCTTCCGCTGGCATGACGATGGGGACGAGCAATTCGAAACTCGTCCGCTCCTTAAAGAGAGGGTCCCCAAGAACCGGGGTTTTTTTAGAGTTTTGAATAATTTGGACTTTACAATTGTAATCAGGGCCACGGAAAGGCCCCAAAATGGCAGAAACATGAGAGGCGAAATTTTGCCCGGACGCTGCCTTTAAATTAACCGGAAACTTCGCTCACAAAAGGGTTCCTTCATACTACGCCGCAGGACACGGAAGCCTGCCGCGTGCGCCGCGTACGCCCTTACGGTAGCACACTCTGTCTATCACTGTATTTCTATATCCGCTACTCCCTGTGTGTCCTCCGAGTGTTCATAGCGAGACTGTGCCGCCATGGGCGTACTTTCACTACGAGCAGCGTACGCTACGTGCTGCGGCGTACGCGGCGCACGCAGCAGGCTGGCGCGTCCTGCTGCGGCGTAGTATGAAGGAACCCAAAGTTTCAGGACCCACTGCTTACGAAAGTCTTACAATCAGTCATTCTGCACGAAAGTGCCTCTACAGTAAAGTTACTACATAATAGCGAAATCTGGCCATGTCACGTAATCTCGCAAGTTTGCCTGCTTTTCTCGCCCGTCTGCTGACTAACTTGCTTGCCATTTTTGTAAGTTAGAGTTTCTCTCCCATCGCAATCGGACCATGCTTTATATATGTGTTCATCTGTGCTATTTCCCGAATCATGAGCTTACGAATTCACATTCTCATAGTTGTCTATTCTGAAAATCTCGTTTTTAGAGAGATACGTTAGATTGCGTAAACGCTGGTTTTGATATAAAATTATTTCGCACGACAGGAACCCGACAGCATGCATATTATTAGATGTGTCTTGTTGAAGTGTTCCCAAATCTGCTTTTCATAGCTACTGAGGAGTCTTTGAAAACTACCCTAATTTAAGCGTCTAAAACGCGGAGTTTTTTTTTTGAAATTTGAACAGAACAGACACGCCGAAGGACTTCGCGACCAAAAAACTATTTACATTGCTGCATATTGCCTGAGTGTATCGTGCGGCAGTCTCGTTTTCCGGAACACATCGAGCAGGCTGAGCGGCACGTTCGAAATACCGAAAAAGGTGTGTCTTATACGCGTGAATTTAGGGTAATAATATTATTGTTTTTGAACCGCCAACTCTTTTTGTATGGTACTGCTTGCGAAGTTTGGACTTATAAAGTCCTTAACCTTTCATAAAAGACATTTAGCAAATATAAAAGGTAGGTGTGAATTCAGCTCATCAGAACGCATCTAAGAATACCATTTCATTCTTTTCAGGTCATAAGTGCGAAATGAGATCGCTTTCTGGTCAGAACGAGCACGTGGAAGCAACCATGAGCAACGAACGATTCAAAAACAAATAAATTGACTTTTCGTCGTAAACATCCGCGAGTACTGTGCCTTAAGCTGCAAGAACGTAATAATCGCAATCAGCGCCATAGGCAAACAACCTAAGCAGATTTTACAACAAATTTGTGCAGAAAAACTTCTTACCGACTCCTACAGTAGACTACAATATGCCACTAACAATAAATCAATGTAAGTGTTGTTTTCAGCAGAATGAGTAATACATCCAACCAAAAACATGGAGAAATGGTGAAAACTTACTGAGTACCGTATATTTATCGTACCCTGACGGACTGCGGTACTTTTACATATGAGAAGATGCGCCTCAGCGAGCTGATTCTGAAGTGATATATAGCGCTGCGACGCAATTTCGACGCAGTATGCTGCACTCCGGCGTACTGCAGCGCACTCTAACGCATTCCAACGGAGTGCGGCGACCTTTCTGACGAATAATGAGCGGTATTGCACTTCTGATTTACACAAAAATGCCATCAAAAAATGAGAAGTTTTTCTTCAGTAAAAAACACTTCGAGAGCTTGAACCCTCACAAAATTGAACGGAAGCTGTAGTTTACCTGATTCAATCCTTTGAATGCACTAATGTCTTTTTTTATTTTCGGAGTTCTTTTGTCATGTGAAGTTGAATTATAGCTTATCCCACTTTTTCAGACATATTAGGGTGTCCCATAATTTTTTGCCGTTTTTACCTCAAACATCAGCATTGCTCTGGAACTTTGGCACTTTTGAAATTTTCAAATACATGATCGTACTTCTGTATGTATGAGTTATATGATCGCGTGTGTGGGAGAAGCTCAGGACTTCTAGGGGCAGAATTCCCCATTTTACGCCATTCAATTTTTTCCTTATTTTTAGTCATGGAAAACACGAAAAAAGTATAATTGATTGTTCGATGTGTCAAGCACGTGCTAGGTTAAACAAGGAATTTTTAGGTTTTTTGGGGCGGAGATATGATTTTTGACAGTAAATTTCGTTTTTGACTGCTATCATATTTCAGCTCGAAACTTTAGGTGGATTACGATTTGGGCGGACTATTGATAAACATTTTGAAGAGCTTGCTTTGCCTTATTGAATGGTTATTCAAGCCATATCAGTTCGAGGAAAGATACAAAAGACGACCGTCGAAGTAAAAACGGCAAATAATCATGGGACAACCTAATAGTTATTTATCATTGAATTCGGCCGTGTTTGGTTTCAAAATACTCGCCGTGTGGAGCTAACTTTGAAAGTATGAAAATATCTGGCCTAAAATGGAGCCAGCTCTTCAAAAAAATCGCGCCAGCCACTTGCCATTGGGGGTAGTTAGCGCAGGCTCGTTAGCTGAGCAGCCGCAGATATATTTTAACCGCAGCTTCGCTGAAGCAGAGCCAATGAGGCAAATGTGTAGCAGCTGATAGAGCGCAAAATCTAGATTCTAACTATGAAAGCATGACAAATAACCTGTTTTCACGAATATAGGACGCACGTAATTTTTCAAGCAGCCGCTAAGCCGCTTCGCTCTATTTCGGAAAGCGAAACGTATGCTGCACGTCACTCTCAGGCAATATGCAGCACTGTATATAGTTTATTGTCGCGAAGTCATTCTGCGTGTCTGTGATGTTCGTTTTTAAGAAAAACCCTCCATGTCCTATACTCGTGAAATTACGGTACTTATTTTTTCTGAACTAGAAATTCATCATGCTAGAAGTTCATGGTCTGGTTGAGCATATATTTTGACACACAATGTTCTTCCGAATAATTCAAAAAATATAGACGCATATGTCTTCCCTGCACTGGTCGAAAAAAAGCGTAGCGCTTATCCTTTAGGATCCTGAGGACAAATTTCCTGAATAGCTCCTTCTGCTCTTCGTCCGGTCTATGAACCTGTAACAGCAAAAACTAAACGTCGAATTCAACACTTTCGAATGAGTTTCTTGACATTCTGAATTTTTTTTCATCACCAACACAAAGGAAAGCATCGCATCAAACAGCATTTTCTCAACAAAAAAATGTCGATTTCACAGAATTTCTCGTTTGCGAGCCCATCAAATGAGTGGACATACATTGAGATTTGAAGGGCTTTTGAAACGCAAAAGAATGCTAAGTGATTAGTTCTGCAGTTGAAGGCTTAAAGGAGTTAGGAAACATGATTTGAAACTGACATATGGTCAAACTATTGGTTTTTTGAACGAGCATGCTATTTTGTCTAAACGTTCACGATACACTTTGCAACGTAACAAAGGATTGGAATGCAAACGAATAAAGAAGTCCTAGGTTTTATCGCTACTACTAGTGAGAGCGAAACGCTTAGACCAAATTGGCCTTATCTTAACTGAAACCGCATGCATCCACTCAGAAATGCGTTGTAGGTTCCTAAAACCGAAACGCAAAGAATGAATTCTATCTTTCTAATTATTAACGGAAACTCTTCACTTTTTTACCGGTGCAAGCCAAAAGTTGTGAGCTTTTTTTTTGTATCTTCGTTGTCAAGCGATACCTTTGATAGCGGTCAACATTGGTTTTTTTCGCGATCAAAAGCTGCCCGGCCATGCAAAATATTACTACTCAGGTCTTGAACCCTGGCTGCATTCTTGGAATCCCACTAACTGAGCCCTTAGACCAAACTTCAAGTAGTTCCATTCTCAAGTAACTAAGTAATTATCATGTTCAAAAGACGATCCGCATTCAGATCGATAGCTTATTAGTGCGGGACTGAGGCGCCTGCGTTCAACCTAAGCCCGCCCCAGCCGAGTTGCGCTGAACAGGGGTTTACTACGAGCTTGTCTCACAAGGAAAAGAAGGTTGGTCGAAGTGGCCTTTTGAAATACGATGTATACTGCTTTGTAGAGCTTGGTACACTGATTTCAAATCTACCTTTGCTATCTGCTGCGGGCTTCTGGGCGACGAGTTATGAAGGTTTTTGTGAGTAAAAATCTGAATGCAAGAGTAGGCTAAAATCAGTTGTAACATTTTTTATAGGGCTTAATTGGTATTCGAGTCACTCAGTGCAACAAATATTCTTGATTCAAGTATACCAATTCGCTGCTGCCTCATTTAAACATTGGGAAAAGGTTACGATTGATTTTACCATGTTTTTGCATTCAGATTTTTGCTCACAAAAACCTTCATAACTCGTCGCCCAGAAGCCCGCAGCAGATAGCAAAGGTAGATTTGGAATCAGCGTTCCAAACTCTACAAGGCAGTATACACCTCATTTTAAAAGGCCATCTCGACCAACCTTCTTTCCCTTGTCAGGAACAAAACTGTTTAATGCGAGCAAATTCTTCTGACACAGTATTATTGACCAAAAGCTGTATGCTAAAGAGTTCAACACCCTTAAACTTCAAAGATTTAAGGAGTCTAGAAACATAAAAATCCGATCAGGTAGCTAAGAGGGGCTGGTCGAGGATGTGTTCTTGTACATTGATACTTTTAAAAAATGCATGTATTACAAATAGACTTGATCCAGTTAAGTAGCTACAATTTTGGTTAAATTGGTAAGTCATTCACTATCGAATTCTAAAACACGCTTTAGTATTCTTATCACAATCAAGTATGCTTTGGACTGACTGAGGGCAAGGTCCCCATGTTGGAAATGAAATCCAGTATCCAGTATCTTTCGTACAATACCTTAGAGAAAACTCGTGAACCAAAGCACTTGAACACGGACAGTGTAATGAAAGAGAGAAATCAATGCTTAACCAATATTTATAAGTAGAACTGAAGCGGAAGAAAACCTGCCAAAGATTTGTCTAGGAAAATGTTAAAACGCTAACATTTTTGTCCGCTACCTGCCCCTTCAATTTAACTACTTTTAAAAAATCTTGTCGTGGACTCCTTTTTAAGAGAATCAATGACGCGCTTATAGAGCAAACCTATCATAGTGTTCCATAATTTCTTACCGTCTTTACTATAACCATCGTCTCTTTTTACTTCAATTGATGTGGCTTGAGTAATCATTCGAAGGGCAAAGCAAGCTCAACAAGATAGCTATTAGAGTCTGCCCAAAGTAATCTATTTGAAGTTTTAAGCTGCAGTCTGATTGCAGTCGAAAACAAATCTTTGCCGTTAAAAATTGTATCTCTCCCCCCCCCCCCCCCAAAAAAAAAGAAATCAAAAACTCCCCTTTCACCCTAATATATAACGACAGTGTCCGAACAAGATGGAGGCTTTGGAATTCCACCCATGCAAAAGTGGCCCCTCTCAGACACAGCATCGCGCAAGTACGATGCTGTAATGTTTGACCTAAAGGAAAAACGATCGGGAAATGAGGAAACTTACGCCTTGGGGCGGGGTCCTTCGAGCTGTCCGAATTCCTGCTGTGCGGTAGAGTACGCATGCCACCACAGTCAAAATCGTAGGGTCTCGCAATGATTCTGCGTCTCAGCCTTGACGGGTACCGTCGAATTTCAAATTGTAAGGCTTTGGGAAACGCATGTACTCGCCCTTTTCATGCCTTCTAATGTGGATTTTTGGATTTAGCGTGTGGATAACCCCGGTATGTGGATTTTTTGAAAATCGAGTTTTTGCCCGGACATTGCCTTCAACACATGTACACATCCAAATATTAGGTTGGCACATAAGTTTTGCAACTTTTCCCATAACTTTTTTCCTATTTTATGTAGCAATCTCATTTTCTGGCATCATGTAGATCGTGATGTAAGCTGCAACTCTGCGCAAACCGTTTGATTTTTGATAACGTAGTACAAAAAAAATCTAAGCATTTTTTGAAAACTGCTGAAAATCGAGGTTTCACGATTTTTTGGCAAACATGAAGCCCTACGAAACTTAATTCAAACATATGAAAAAGCAATTATAGGCAGCATGTAGCTGGAAGTTGGCACATTGGAATCAGTGAAAAAGAAATGAAATTTAAACACAAATTAAGGTGGGGCACCTTTGAGAAGTTAAACAAGTCAAATGCGTCAAGTTTTGAAGGCAATTTGTCGATAACTGAGCTGTGAAAAGTCAGAATTTGCTATAACTTTGCACTTTAGGGTAATCCTATGCGATAAACAAGAATATCATATTCATTTGTCGCTAAAATGAAATTTATCTTTTGATCTCACAAACGAGGCCTTTTCAAGCGAAACGGATCTCATTTTTGTGATCAGCATGTCAAATAAGCCCTATTGGTCAAGTTTCAGCAAAATCTGATGCATTCTAAAATTTTTTCCATAGTACCGTAAACCTACCGTAATCCTTACATAAGATGGTAAAATTCGGCAAAAATGTGTGCATTAGAAGCTTATATCATATTCCTTATGTTGCCAAAAAATGGATGCGCTACGTTCAAATAGACAAAAGTTATGTAAAAAGTTGCATTACTTATGTGCCAACCTAATATACACTTTCCGTACTTTTCTCATGGCTAGAAATAACGAAAAAATGAATGGGGTAAAATGGCAAACTCCACTCCTAGACATCGTGAGCTCTTCCCACGCACGTGATCATATGGCTCATACATACAGAGTTACGACCATGTATTTGTGAGCTTTGAAGGTGCTCCAGCTCTCAAGAAATGCTGATTTCAAGGTAAAAACGGTAAAAATTTTGGGACACCCTAATAGATAAATGTGACTTTCCTCACCTTTTGGCAAATCATTTTTAATGCTACGAAAATGTTTAGTCTTTTAACATCATGATTTCTATAGCATGAAGTCAGCCTAGGGCTGGGTCCGGTACTTTGAGTACCACCACATTTTGAAAGCAAATTAGGCTTCTCTGAATTTCAATCGAATGAACAATAAAGCGTTATGAACTAAGGCTGGAATGTTTGTACATTTGTGAGCAGTTACTCATTATTTTTATCATGGACTATCATTGCTTCTGAGAAATTATTTTGCAAAATTTCCCGAAGCAAAAAAAATGTAAAAGCATGCTTGTCCTACTATGTTGCTCTGTTCATATTTTTGAGGACAAGTGTATTGAAAATTTTCGGGAACTTGAGCGTGGCAAAAGGGATGTGCTGCAAAGTTCAATGATCTGCTAAAAGTTCGTTGGACTGAACCAGAACGGAGGGCATAGGCACAAACTTCGAAAGAGGATAAAAAGCTGCGTCGAATGCAGCCTTTCATCCTTTTTCCAGTTTGTGCCTATGCCTTCCGGTCTGGTTCAATCCAACAAACTTTTAGCAGATCATCAAAGTTTGAATGCGTCGAATCTTTAAATCTTGAGTGTTTTTCTGCAGTGATTTGTGCGTTTGGAACGACAGTGTTGTGCTCGAAAAGTCCAGAAAGATGAGTAATCCATCAAATGCATTGCTTCACGTTAGCTTTCAAAGTTCCCATTCATTTGAAGCTACTGTATACATGTACTCCAAAAACGTTTACATATGACGTCAATGTGCTGTAAGTAAACCAATTCTTTGTAACTTGCAAAGTCAGGTAAATGCATGTATGACTTGTATTGCGATATACACACTTTTTCTTCTCAAGGACAAAATTATGAGTGCAGTATCATGGTCGGGTCGAACACTAACCCTCACTCAGGCGCATGTCCACACCCGCACTACGATGTCATATGAATATCTGTTTCGCCTTCTTACAAAAAACCTTACAGCTTTTATATTCCCGCTTATTCAATTGCGGTTGCTGAAAATATACTTAAGAAGAAGAGCGGGGGCTTCTTATCACGTTGATTACAATGTGATGCTACTCCGCTACAAAGGTAATTTAGCGTGAAATGATAGATGGCGTAACATTTGCTTGATGGTGATGGTTCTTACAATCGGACCTGGTTATGCCACAGTAAAAACCGACTTTTTGAAATAAAGTTTTGTGGTTTGGTCCTAATTTGCTGTACAATATTTAGCCGCCAACGTTCCAAAACTTGATAGTTTCATACTCTCTTTCTTCCGCTCTCCACTCTCTACTTGCATGTTCCCTTCCGAGTGTTAGAGTGTTGCAACGCCGTAATCATGAAGGTTTCTCATCAACTTTGTATCTCGCCTTTAGGGACTCCGCCTCAGTTCTTTTTTTTGCCACTTTAGCGCACTTTACAGTAAGAATTGGCTGTAAAGCGTTCGCTGGCAAAACCACTTTCAAAGGCCATCGTGATCGTAACTTGCATGAAAAGACTCATCTACCCCCACAATGGTCGGCCGCCTCAACTGGCGTGGGGGTGACATTGGGTGTCGAGCTACGATGCACATCCGAGTGTATACTCTGGCATGGCCTCCCAAACTGTGAAGGAGTTCGGCGTTTCCGGTCTCGGCCGGATGCTTAGCTAAGAGCCGGCCAGGCCAGATCCACCGCCGTCTGGTTTTCTGGTCGCTAGGCGGTTTCTCCCCGCTCCACATCTGAGTCAGAGATCGCCCCGTGGAAATCAAGAGTAGGCCTAGTCTGGTGGAGAACAAATTTTATTACTCAGTCAGCAAGAAGATAAAGAAAAAACCCTGTACTTGTATCCCGCCTATAGCGCCGGGTGGTAGCAAGAACGATGTCAGGGTACCTCAGGGCGCCTTTTGGATTGTACAAAAACGACACGTCTGCCCGGACGACACGCCGTGGGGACTGCCTCATGCTCTGTACCTACAACTTCAGGACAGTCTCCACAAACGCCGACCTCCGTGCTCTTCTCGACGCTGCAGAGCACATCGAGTACCACATTATCGCTCTGCAGAAAAGTGATGGGACACTCATCGTGGTGAGAAGGTTTTATCCGAAACGTTGGAGGCGTTGGCTTTATCGTCTAGCCATCTACCGTCCTGGTCCATCTTGTCGATTCTCATGAGATCCTATCACCTCGACTAGCCATCCTACGACTGCGACCTTCACGTCAGAAGACCATCAGCATCATCAACTGCTATTCTCCAACATGAGCAGCTGACGAATCAGAACTAGATGCTTTTTACGAAGACGTGGAGCAGGTCGTCCGTAACGAGAAGTCCTTCCAATTAGAAGTTTGTTGTGGGCGACTTCAACGCGAAAATCGGGATGCCACTGGAAAAGGAATTTAGGATCGGGAAGTTTGGATATGGGCTCCGGAACGAAAACGGCAACCGTCTTTTTGGGTTTTTCTGCGGCACGACTTTTCCATGGAAATTCCATCTTTATGAAGAAAGAACATTGCCGGTGGACATGGGAATTTCCCAACTGAACGACTCATGCGGAGATCGACCACATTCTCACCAACCGAAAATGGAGCTTCTTCGATGTCTCAGTGGTTTCATCCTTCTGCAGTGGCTCCGATCACCGCCTCCTTCGAGCGAAGGTACGATTCAGTCGGGAGCTAAAAAAGAAGGTCTGCCATAGTGCCGCAAGAAGGAAGAATGTCGTTTATGACGGTAACAGGCTGGAGGAGCTCACATCAAGTTGTGACTAACCCATCGAGAAGGACCCAGCGTACGACTACGACCCGCTTTTGAAAGGATTGCGAGCTTGTGGAGAGTGCGCCTTAGCGACTTCTGAGAAGAATTGGAACGCTTTTCGAAGACCACCAAGGAAATGCTAGAAAGAAGATTTCTGGGGCAGGATCCGAATGGAACTCACTTCGAGCGCCTGATAGCCAACGCAGTTGCAGAACAGCTTTGCAGGAGGGTCTCATGAAACACAGGCAAACCAAGATACTGGAAACAACCGAAGGAAGACTAAGTCTCAAGAAGTGCCCATGGAGCCTCTGTAAATATCACGTACCGCTGGCTGCACTATTGAACAAAAACGGGACTCCGACTTCTTCCCGATACAAGATGGAATCTATCGCGAAGTATTTTTACACCAACCTCTTCCGCTCATCAACACCCGTGCCGATGCCCGTTGTTCCCACTGGAGAAGTACCACCACGAATTCTACCTGCTGAAGTGCGCACAGCGATTCAGACCCTGAAGACGTCCACGGCTCCAGAACCAGACCATCTTTCTGTCGAATTTTTGCGAGCCGGAGGATAACGTCTACACGAAATTCGCGAGTCGCTTCTACATCTTACCTTTAGAGGAAGAAGATCTCCGACCAGTGAAGGAGGACATCAAAAACCGTCTTTCTTCTTGAGAGGGGCGACGGGAGGATCCTTGGAGCTACCGTCAATATGCGCTGAGTGTGTACAAGCCTTTCACGATGATAGTCCTCGCTAGCATATCTAGGACACTGGGTGAAGCCCAACCCCAAGAAAAAGCTGGATTTCTCAAGGGATTCAGTTGCATGGGCCACATCCAGACGGTTTCGAGGGTCATAGAAGTCTGCCAGAAGTACCGACTGCCTCTTGTCCTAACCTTCGTCGACTACGAGAAAGCCTTTGACAGCGTCGAGACCAACGCCATCCTGTCAGCGCTAGTCAATCAAGGAGTGGATCCAGCTTACGTGAGGCTGGATGAGCTTACGTTAGTCGACTGTTGCAAGGACTGTACAACGATGATGCAGCTGTTCCATCGCCCCCTGACAATCCCAATTGGGAAGGGGGTCCGACAAGGCGACACAACTTCGCCGAAGCTGTTCACCGCGGCCTTGCAGTGGGTGATGAAGTCACTGGACTGGGATGAGAGAGGCATACGAGTTAATGAGAAATTCCTGTCTAACCTTTGTTTTGCGGACGACATTGTTCTTTTTTCGACCAGCAACAGCTTTTCACTGAAGCAGAGACGATGTTGAAGCAACGGAACAAAGTAGGGAAGAAGATCGGATTTCGAATAAATCGGAAAAAGACTCAGTTTATGAAACGCGCCCTTTGCGAAAATGCAGAAATGGAATTGGAAGGCACCCCTATTCTGAAGACGTTCTTACGTGTATCTCGACGTTCGATGAACATGGAGAACGACTTCAGGGGAAAACTTAACAGGAGAAGAAGAGCAGCCTGAGCCGCCTTCGGGCTTCTAAAGGAAGCCACCGACCAACTGACGAACACGGAGCTTCGTGCACACCTGTTCGAATCAACCGTTTTCCTGGCGCTCTGCTACGCAGCTGAGACTTGGGCTGACCTAGCCACGTCGAAAGCTTTGAGGACCATTCACAGAGCGCTAGAGCGTAGTCTTCTGAAGATGAAGACTACGCTCTAGCGCTGACGACACAAGACCCGACACAAGCAACATCTAGTCGGACTTCGCACTACGGATATGAGAAGAATGTCCTGTGTTCGTGACCCAGCGGAATACGTTGCGAAAGCGTAGCATCGCATTATGAGAAGAATAGACGACAGATGGTCATTAAGGACATCGGAGTTGATTCTTCGCATATGGGCAGACGTGTTTGTGGAACGCATGGACCAGCTAAGAAATCATCCGGATAACTTTTGCACCTGGAACTGAGCGCAGCCACCGACTCAACCAAGAAGATCGTGGATGTCTGAAGCGAGGGACAGGGATCGATGGAAACTTCTGTGCTGGAGCCCGCACTTCACGTGAGGTGGGCCATCTAAGTATCAAAGTAAGTTTACTCATCTAAAGTATCTATCGTATACCTGGAACTTCAGTGTTACCTGGAACATGTATATTGTATTTTGCGCTTGTTCCAAAAAAAAACTACGGAATCACAAAGTATACATTTAAGACGGGAGCAAAAAATCTCAAAAGCAGCGGCTTGGCATAATGACAACTTAAGGGTATTCATCGTTTTTGACTCCCTTGGATGAGCTGAGTCTGAATCTGTGCTTTGCAGCTTTCAAAGATATCAATAACTAGCTTTTCCGGACTAGTGTTTTTTGGGATGGGGAGAGGGTCGCGAAAGTGAATGCTGGAGCCAACAATCCAATTGCAGCTGAAATGGGTGAGGTGTCCCCACTCAATCCCATAGCGCTTTCGAGGACAGGCTTACTTCTCCGCCCAAAAAACACTCTTTACATATGGAAAACGGGTTACTGATATCTCTTTAAGCTGCAAAGCACAGCCTAAGACCTAGCTCATCCAGGGGAACCGAGAACGATGAATACCAAAGTTGTAATTCTGCCGAGACCCCGCTACCTTTAAGAAATCGTTCGCGACTTCCACAAATCTGTAAGATTAGGATTGAGAAGACTTGCGCATAAAAATTCAACAATAGCAAGCTTGCCTGCTAGGTAGACTATGTGCAAGATCATACTGCTCGGAAAATCTACGTGAGCTTGAACCAAAAAATTTTAATTTTTTTAACTTACTTCCATATTAAACTGGCAGAGTGTGATACCATGCTCATCCAGCTTCCCATTTCGATAAAAATAAGGAAATAATTCGTACTCACCACCTTCTATATCAATCCACAAGTTATCATAGACCTAAATTCGACAACCCAGACACAAAATCACTTTCACAAACGGTGTTTGAAGATGTAATTGAGCAAACTTACTCTAAACCCAATGAATTCAGTGAGAAAGTATGCTAACTCGACATGGACCACGCTGCGCGTGACGTACGTTCCTAAAAAGCTCTTTCGACAGTGTGACTAAAGGTTCAAAAAGTTGAGCGTACTGTTGATGAGAACACTTGCGTTTGAAATTCGCGATCTTGACCCAATAGCGAATGGGAAAAATGTGCCGATTTTGTTAAAGAGATCTTCGTTGATTTTTCTAACTGGATCAGCGCCATAAAAGAGAGAGTCTTTTGGTAGCACCTAGGAGGAGAAAACTTTAGGCTAGATGTGATGTGATTTAATTTTCACTTATTAGAATAATGCACAAATCTGCACAGAGCGAAAATTTTTTTTAAATGTTTAGACAAACTAATCAGCGCTTTAGTAATTTCTAATGTATTTGATCAGCGCTTTTTAGTAATTTCTGATGTATTTTAGAAGATTGGTTTGGAAGTCAATAAGTCGAATTTATAAAGTCGAAGCTCATAACTGTTTGTAGAGACATTACCAAGTCAAAAAGAATTGCTCGCGATGCAGCTATTTCCCAACAGCTGCCGAAGATGGAGGTTGGCCTGGGATAGACAACCTTTGGCAGTGATTTGCCCGCCGGCAAAAACTTGTTCCCTCTCACTCTTTTCTCTTCCCCTTTTCTGTACACAGAGCGTCCCAGAAAGATGTGCACGGTGTTCGATCGTTAATAACTCTTTCGCTTTCAGTCTTTTGCCGAGCTTGAGGTAGCATTTCTATAGAACGAGGTCCAACTTAGATATACAGTATGGAGCGAGTCACCAATCATCTTTCAATACTACGGGATTACGGTGTGAACTTTTAGCATAGAGCGTCGCTGTGCAATAGACCTCTTAATAGAATGATTCAAAAAAATCTGAAAATTTGAGTAGCAAGGTATTTAGACGTGTTGATTTCACTGCACTATTTTTTACCAGTTTAATTCATGATGGCGTAAACAATTTCCGACGAATATTGGAAAAGCAGTTGTTGCCCTAAATTTAAAATAACTTATGAAAAAAGCACTTCACTGAAGTGCATATTATATTCAGAATCGGCGACTTCGATGACCCAACATGAAACTTTCTGGTTTGTTTGGTTTTCATTCTAAGGCAAAATATCGCTTTCCATGACTTGAAATCCTCCTCGAAGTTCCTACCGTAATCCTACAGTAATGAGGAGCAATTAATAATCCGCTTCATATTGTTAATCTAAGTTGTACCTCGCTCACAAAATGATGCCTCAAGCTCGGCAAAAGACATGAAAGCAAGGGACTTATTAAGGATCAAACAGTGGCACATGTTTTTGGAACACCCTGTATATCTTGTATAATATAATAAATATTATTGTAAGCAATGTTACTCCGCTACACCTCAGGTAAAGGGACCGCCTTTTATTCTGACATGGAAGTCCTAGGGAGATACTAGGTCGGTTTGATAGTTCTGTCGTTTCATTTTTGAAAATTTGTAACTCTGCGCTATCCCAACGGATTTGCATCGGTGTAATTTTGTTTGAAAGCATAAGTCTTTCGCTTTCGAATATAGTCTTGATTAGCTTCTACTACATTCTGACTGCAGAGATAAAAATGAAAAAGTAAGAGTGAGGAAAAATCTGAAAGGTTCAGTATATAAGTTTTTTGACCTACTTTTTATAACTGTGAAATTATAATTGTTCTGTGCTGTTTGGATGTCTCTGAGAGAAGTTTTGAATTTCGAGTTAATACAGGAAACGCCAAAAATTGATTTGTCACTTTTTCCGAAATTCATAACTTCTCTCAGGGACGTTCAAACAGCACAGCCTTTTCATAGTTTTGAAGAGTAGATCAAAAACTATACCTAACTTAAAATGAGCAAAACTTAGTTGGTCTTACTTTTTCGTTTTTATCTCTGCAATCAGTGTGTAATGAAGCTAATCAAGACTGTATTCGAAAGAAAGACTTATGCTTTCAAAAAAATTACACCGATGCAAATCTGTTCTGTTAGCGCAAAGTTACAAATTTTCAAAAATGAAACGACAAAACTTTCGGACCGGCCTAATATTTTTTTTAGAATTCAAAGGTCAATTTTTTATCTTAACAAACTTTTGATATAGAATCTGAAACTTTTGATTTCCCTCTCCCCCTCCCTCCCTATACAACCCTGTCGTCGTATAGAGGGCATGTGCCCCCCCCCCCCCCGCACTCCCCCACTCCCCTCAGTCCGCCACTGTCGCATGAAGAAAATTATGAGAAAAAGGTGGTTATTCAGACGTAAACTTTTTTTTCTTTACCAAATGATTATCACTTTTTCAATGAACTTACAAAACAAAATATTTTCCAACGTGATTAAGTGAATCTTAGCTTCTCTACACATCACACGCAAAAATTTTAGTATCAAAAAAATTCCCAAACGTTCCTTTAACGACTGTTATTTCAAGAATTTACAAGAACATGCGCAAAATGACTTAGACTGAGATAGACAAGAAAAAATGCACACGTTGCTGGTATAAAACAGTGGAAATCAGCAGTAGTTTTGACAATGCTATAAAACTGAATTTGCATGACGTTGGAGAAAGTAACACTCAAACTACGATTATTCTCAGAGAATATTGCTTGCAGCCGAATGAAGATTATTTTCAGAGGGCAATTCTGATCGAAAATGCAACACCAAAAAAGTTTTTTTTTCATAAATAGGGAGAAATCCTCACTTCTTTCGAGAAGTACTAAGATAACCAGTTCGTTAGATCCTCTTCAAAAGTAACGACGCAGATTCTAAATGATAAAAGCCATATCTTGTTTCAATCTGGAATGCAGTCCTTAAATTGTAGAGCATCCAAAAAAACTGAACATTCTACGTACTACAATCTCTTTTTTTTTCTAGAAAGCAATGTTATTGCTCCCTCGACAGATTTCAGCTGAATCTAGGAACTATCACTCCATAGAAGTTTCTATATCGCACCCGGACCCCGGACTTGAAGAAAAATAGATAGCTTTAGCAAGTTGCATATTAGTAGAGAATTGTCATACATAATGTTAGAATTTTCCGCTGAAGCTCCTATACTCATCATAAGTTATAATGAGCTAAGGATTTTTACGTGTGTGTGTGTGTGTGTGTGTGTGTGTGGTGTGTGTGTGTGGTGTGTGTGTGGTGTGTGTGTGTGGTGTGTGTGTGGTGCGTGTGTGGTGTGTGTGTGGTGTGTGTGTGTGTGGTGTGTGTGTGTGGTGTGTGTGTGTGGTGTGTGTGTAGTGTGTGTGTGTAGTGTGTGTGTGTGGTGTGTGTGTGGTGTGTGTGTGTGTGGTGTGTGTGTGGTGTGTGTGTGTGTGTGTGGTGTGTGTGTGTGGTGTGTGTGGTGTGTGTGTGCTGTGTGTGTGTGGTGTGTGTGTGGTGTGTGTGTGTGGTGTGTGTGTGGGTGGTGTGTGTGTGTGGTGTGTGTGTGGTGTGTGTGTGGTGTGTGTGTGGTGTGTGTGTGTTGTCTGTGTGGTGTGTGTGTGGTGTGTGTGTGGTGTGTGTGTGTGGTGTGTGTGTGGTGTGTGTGTGGTGTGTGTGTGTGGTGTGTGTGTGTGGTGTGTGTGTGGTGTGTGTGTGTGGTGTGTGTGTGTGGTGTGTGTGTGGTGTGTGTGTGGTGTGTGTGTGGTGTGTGTGTGGTGTGTGTGTGGTGTGTGTGTGTATGGTGTGTGTGTGGTGTGTGTGGTGTGTGTGGTGTGTGTGGTGTGTGTGTGGTGTGTGGTGTGTGGTGTGTGGTGTGTGTGTGTGTGTGTGTGTGTGTGTGGTGTGTGTGTGTGTCCGTTACGAAAATCGAGGAGCGTGTTCCAGCCAACGTTCTGACCCCAACTTTTGCATGGTGCATGCTAGTAGCATGAAAGTCCTCTATGCAAAAGCACGAGCGGATCCGCTGAGTGGAACCCCAAAAACTGCGCCCCAAACGGATCCACTTAGCTTCTGACCAGCAAATTGGGGCAGTATTAACATGGATATGTTTGACAAACTGATGTGCAAGCCAAAAAATTGAACTAAAGTTGGTTACTTTACGAAAATGCCGCCAAAAAAATAAGTTGCACAAAAGTTCAATTTGCCAAGATTTTACCTGATCGTTTGAGACGATTTTTGCATAGAGATGTAGTCCACGGTAATTATTGTCGTTATGGCGACTTTAGAGTCATAAAAAATTCAAAATCCGATTCGAATTTGCATTTATTCTTCTCGGAAAAGTTTCATTCACGCAAAAATACCGACCTCACACAAAAAAGCTCTAGAAATGAGTAATTGTTTACAAATCATTTGTGATAGCTTGCGTGCGATAAGTTTCAGTGTCATTATCATGCGGGAATGAGTTAGGCTTACAGAAAGCAGGGCCAGTGCGAGCCTTTACGAAGCAGAGGTGATGCACTGGTAACCCATAAGCTACACATCGAAGTTTTTGCAGTAGAACTGTTCTCTTCGCATAATTTTCTGTGCTAAAATGTACTGTGCTTAACTCATTTTGCATAATTTGGTTTGCATTTTCATTGTTCAGGTCACACATCGGCTAAAGCTTCCGAATCGCACTTGATCAGCTCGTATTATTACCATTCGCCGAAGAAGAATTTTACTTCAAGTGCACTTGAAAAGCGCAAGATTTTCTCTCTCTCTCTACTATGTTCCAAATCAGAAGCTTTCATTGATGCTCGAGAAAGCAATGACGTCAAATTTTTTGAGTAAATGATTAGTGCGAGATGCATTATTTGTTGAAAAGGCATAATACATTGCAATAAATCGATATCACCTCTTTGCATAACTACAAAAACATCCCCGCTTGCTACTTTTATGCATATTAATATCAAAAAAGAGTTGGGTCAGTTTTTTTACCGTTCCCGGAGCAGAGCAATCTTTGGATATGGATGTCCATCCAATACTATACAGGGTGGGGCTATGACTTTTATGCATATTATTGAAAAATGAGAGTTGGCTCAGCTTTTTTACCGTTCCCGGAGCAATCGTTGGATATGGATGTCCATCCAATATACAGGGTGGGGCAAAAGTCTGGGAGCCTGGTACTTTTCCACATAAAATCAGAAGGAAAGTACTTGAAACAAAAAGTTTGATGCACATATAATTCGAACATTTACAAATTTAGCGCAGCTCTCAAATTTTAAGATTCCCTTGTTTGGCTTCGAAGCAGCCCTTCGAAATTTTGGCAAGTCCCCCCTCTCGTGGCACGCAGGCAGTCGTGGTAAATTTTGTCCCACGCCCTCACAATAACTGCTTTTTTCATTAGGCAAGTGGGCAGTATGATAGAGCAAGCCTTTGACTACAACATATTACGAGGAGAATTTTTTGCAATATTTAGAGAAAAGGTTCTGGAATTTTGAATAAAGGCAATTGTACTCGCATACTGTAAATTTAGATGCGATTGCGCGAACGAGCGCGAAATATCATGATTTAAGAAGTATCGAAACTGTGTCATCGATAACTTGAACAAATGCTTATATAGAAGACTCGTGGAGTTCAGTACCTGCCGCTCTCTTATAGCTTTCAAATTTATTTTGAAGACGAATGGCCACTGGCACGCAGTATATTCGCAAATTTTTATTTTGCGTTTTGGAAAGAGTAGTTTCTGGCAAACGTAACTACTAATCTGATAGCGCAAGTCCCCCTCTACATCGTATGCATCAAAGCATTTTAGGATATTCACTGTGGCTTTAGTTACGAAAAAATGTGAGGACTAAAATTTCTGATTTTCTCGCCCTCTGAGGGCGTTTGTATGAATCCAGTTTTTACAAAAAAATATGTTAAGCATTTTCAGCTAGATAAAGTATATTTTGTAGAGGACATACCTTCGATAGTCAAGAGACAGAGCCTAGAAAGTGATAGTTGTTTGAGTTCTTGCCCCGTATAAAAAGTGAAGGTTGTTTTAGAAAAAATAGATGGAAATTTAGAGATCTGAATTGAACCAGTTGAAAAATTCATATAAAAAAGAGGCTAACACATCACCAAATTCAAAACCTTATCTTGGTTGTTTCCTACGCACATTTTTGTCTTCAGAATTGCCGGTTAAATTGGGTGGCAACAGGAACAAAGTTCTTTTCTAATCGAAAAAAAGCGTTAGCTGTGGCGGTCGTTGGGAGACCGAAAGAAGGCAAACTTGTCAACAACTGAACTGAACATGTTAAACATGTCTGAAAAGTTATGCTGCACATCGACGCCAATCTGATTTTTGACGCGTCCTTTGAATTTTCACCCCCGCATGGTCGTTTCGTATCCTGCGACGTTGTATGGATTCTTCCGCTCATCATTCTTAGCAAGTGACGTCCAAGCTGGAGAAAATTCGTTGCAAAAGCATTGAAAAAGACAAGGTAAAGAAAAACGTATATTTTGGTAATTTTAACAAAAAAAACCGGCATAAGCAAAGAAGTAAGCTCGGCGACGCTGTCTACATCATAGACAGAAACAAGACCTATCGAATACATAAAAAAAACCGAGTGAAAAGAGTTGAACTGAAGAAAAAAAGAGGTTTTCGAAAACTCCGTTTTTATTATATTTTTCGTTTAAATCATAAAAAGGAGTTTTGCGACGTTGTCAGCGTGAAAATAGAGACCAAGAGCTTTAATATGATATATAGATTGTCGAAATTGGGCTCCCAACAACGAAGAAAAGGGTACCAGAGCCAAATGCCCCGCGCCCCGCATTTGAGGTAGCGAGGTAGAGCGCAACGCGCGGAGACGCAGACGAGCAGCGGAGACAGACCAGAGCCGGCGGGGTATTTGGCTCTGGTCATTGATCTCCGCGGGATCATAACGAAACCCTGTAACATTATATATCGTTGTGATCCTCATGAGACGTCCAGGAGCACTGACAACGTCGCGAGTCTTGAAAGTCACTCCATAACGAGATAGACCAGCATTTAAGTAGCGACTCTCTGCGCAAGACTTGAGCGCAGTTTCTTGTATTAAACTCCAGCGGCTATCATGAACTTCCAACGCTCAATCGAAGTCTAGAGAAAGATCAATTGAGAAATTTTGCTTCAGTTCCTCATTGAATTTCTGAATAAAAGTTTTTTTGGCAAAAAAGGGCCATAAAAACGTAATCCTTCGATTTTTTGAGCTTCTTTTGGATGTCACTACTATATTTACCTTATTCACATCTCTCCCTATATGGATATGTCATTAGTTATGCCATGATGTCCGGAGCTTCGCCCCGGATGACTTCCCTTTAGGTGAAGGTTGGGTTCTATCATGACGCTCAAAGTGAAGGTCACCAAAGTACGTGGCTCTATGTCGAAGGTATGGTAGAGGAGGATCGCAGCATTATGTGGCACAAATTTGGAATCAAAATCATCGGTAGTTTCGTGATTTGCAACACTTTTGGGGAAAATCTTTCGAGATTGGAAAACCAACTGAAGATTTCGTTTCTTTTATCTGTTGTCAAAGCTCATTTAGACACTTGAAATGTACTCGAAAAATTTCGAATTTGCGATCGGTAAAAACCAAAGTTAGAACTAGTGATTATGTGACCACAAGAGGGCCTATTTTGAAAACATGACCACTGCAAAGAGCAAAGAAAAGCTGTGTCGAGCGGTTTCAAGTGTTTGCCCTTTTCTATTCACGTGAATTGTGATGGTCTAGAAACTGAAAGCACTTTCAGATTAAATAATAAGTCGACAAATCATTTGGAAAAAAAGCTTATTAATGTGAGCTTTTTATAAATCAAATAGAACAGTTTGTTCAATAAATGTTTTGTACCTTGCTCAGAGCTTCCTCAGCATTCGTATCTTGCCCAATACCCAATGTCACAATGATGCTGGGCATCTGCTGAAATGTATTTAGAAGCGAAAAAAAATCTCATCAAAGTAATCTATATAATTATGCAGTGAGGTGGAAAAAAAGGAAACGCAATAACAATCACTGTCTACAAGACTTGCTGAGTGTTCCAAATTTGGCGTCGTGCTTTTCACAAATTAGCTCGTTAACATTACGTGGATTGATCAGGGTAAAGCAGGGGTGAGCGCCCGCCCCGGGGGAGGGGGGGGGGGGGGGTAAATGAGAGCCGTGTACATACCATAACTTCACAAAAAATGTTTGAAATGTGTATAAAATTTCGCAATTAGTATGTCAATCACCTCTATGAGCTTTACAAACCGTTACCTTCAACAATTTCTGGTATTTCCAAAGTTCAAAAAACTCTATTCTCAAACATGATTAACTTGCTTTCAAAACTGTAAGAAGTCAACCTTTTCATACTCATAACAAAGTAGCTTCTTCCAATGATCAAGGTCAAAACTGAGCTTTGTATGGTTCACAGAGAATGACTTTAGATTTGCTGTCGAAAATTTAGCTGCGGTTCTCTCCCTGCGTGCTCTCACTCCATAAATCACTACAAGGCCGAAAAAGCCGAAGTAAGCTTGAATACAGTGTACAATCTACGAGCCTCGTGGTAGCGACTGGCATAAAACTCGGGTAAAAAGCATCTTTGAAGATAAGGTCAGCAAGTCAGGCACAACCCTTCAAAGGACAGGCTGCCTGACTTTTGTAGCTTTGAGCATAAACCCACCCCATAAACTGCCTTTAAAATTCAAAAATTGTTGAAAACTTGTCACTTTTTGGTATGAGCATTGAGCTTGTAGTTATTTTTTGGTATGAGCATTGAGCTTGTAGCCTCTACTTGCCACTAGGAAGTTTGGAGTGAAACGCAACCATCCTTTTGAAGATTATCGCCCTCAAAAAAACACCCAAATCCAAAATGAGTCTCGAACTGCGTGTGTCGGTAGGCAAGTGCAATCGCAAAAAGTCTGGCGTACAGACTTGTGAAAATCAAAAGAAGATGTCATAACTCAAGGTCTTAAACGTGAAGGAGAAAGAAGGGGCCTTCCGAAGGGATTTGGGGAGCGGAGGGAGAGACGTTATTACCTGTATTGACCTTGAACTTGATACCATGATTCATGCAGATGCGGGAATTCTCCATTGGAGCTTGACTTTGTGTTTGAAATACTTTTGCGGGTTTTTTAGTGTTCACCCTGGTAGCATGGAAACATTGTTGCATACAAATTGATAGATTCAATTCAATTGGCTGGCTATAGTTTGTAACTTGTAAGAATCGCCCTAACTTTCTATACAAGGACGTTTGGAAAAGGGGATCTTGTTTTATGTGATACATGTCCAGAGTTGGAAGTTAGTAAAATGAAGTTAATAAGGCAAAAGTCTTTAAGGCAGCTTTTCTAGTACAAACCACATTGTTCAACCTCTCTTCTCTAAAATAAATTGTGACCTAAAAATCACAGCTACCGCTCCTTCGTAACTGAACGTGTCGCAACTCTCTAATATGTACTATACTCACATTTTTGAAAGTGGCACCTGGTTGCTGAATTTCTCAGAAGCAGGCGAATCATTCCTATTGCTAAGACAACAAATTTTTTTTGATAGTTGTTATGCAGTATTGTCGCCATCACTATAAAAAAATAGGTTTTTGTGACTTTTTTGTAAATGTGCAATCAAAGAGATAAGACGTTTTAAAGATAATGTAAGCAATATCCAAACGCAGCATACGCCTTCAGTCTTTCAAAAAAGTGAAACGGTTTACACTGCTGTCGTAGTCTAGCTAAAATAATAAGGGTACTATCTGCGGATGTCTCCTAGATTTCGAAATGATCCTTGTTGTCAGTCTTATGCTCATAATCTTCAAATTTTTACAGCTTCATTAAACAACGCTCAATACTGCACAATCATAGTGAAAGGCGCATAAGAGAGGATAAAATTGACCGTCATACAAAAATCAATGCAGTACATTTGTTTCAATATCACTGAGACCTTCAAGCGCCTTTGTCCAGAAATGTGTGCTATCAACAGAATATTTAGTGATTAGACATTCGGGGCTTAGTTTATTGCATCTTTCGTTTGTCCAGACAGGCGTAAAATTTCTCATTAGCTTAGTGAAGAACTTTTACCCTGAGATCGGTTTTTTTTTTCGAAATGACGACTTAGTCCTGTTATACTTCTCAAATAGCTTCACAAATCGTACGAACGCCCCTTCGCTCGTCAATTATGATGCTGGAGCGCAGACCTCGTTCAACACTGAGACTTTTGTACAATACCGCTCACATTTTTTGAAAAATAGACGCGAATGTATGGACATGTATGGACATGTACGGACATGTCCATACATATATGGACATGTCCGTACATGTCCGTACATGTCCATACATGTATGGACATGTCCATACATCAGCGTCGCGTGGCCGTATCTCGCTTCAGAGTGGACGAATTCTGAATCCAAAGCCACCATTCGATTCAGCTCGGCGCGGAGAATCTTCTGATGTAGTGGAAGTGTGGGGACGATGTCTTCGATATTCCATTTCCAGTTTTTTTTTATATGTTCTGCGGAGGTCCTTTCGCGAATATGTGAAGCAACGCCTACCCAACATAGAAGACTTTACTGAGTACTATTCGATGAAACTGTTCTTGTAGATTATTGTGCGCTAGAAAATAGGCTCAGACTTCTTTCCAAAGAAGATACAAGCGTTGGTGAATTTTGGAAAAATCACGCGCTTCTAAATTCTACTCGCCATAACTTCCTTCGGAATAAGTATATTTTGAATCCGAAAGAAGCGCCTTGCTCAGCTCATCAAGGCGAATCTTCCTATTTACAGCATGTCCTTGATATTTCGATTTCAGTATTCTTGAATCTTTCTGAGGACGTCTTTTCGCGAAGGCGTAAAGCAGCGAGCATTGTCCCGAGTACATTCCAGCAAAGATCTTTCGATAGCACTTCTTCTGTAGATTATGATGTGCTAAATAGTAGCCGCAGGTTTCTTTTCAAAGGAAATAGAACGGCTGGTGAATTATGGAAAAATGTTGTTGTCCCAAATTCTACTCGACATAACCGCAGGATACGAAGCTATCTTGCTAAGCAGATATGAGATTCGAAACCAGCAGGTTGGATAACCTCTGTGAGCAAGTTTTCCGATATGTTCGGGTAATTCCATTTTTTCTCGTTTTACGCTCCAGAAGCTCGCCGATGGATTTTCGTCAAAATGTTGATGCTCCTGAATTGTAAGGGAACTTCGCTTATAGAGGTTTTCGAACACGCTCTTTACGAAAATCGTGGTCTTTGAGGATTACAGGGTCTTTTTGGAGAGATACGGTGAGGTGACTGTAACATCATCACGAAAGTGCGCAGCTTTGGCCGCACTTCTCGCGTATCTGTCAGAAACCTTGCCTGCTTGCTTTTCTCAGTCAAAGTGACTAGGAACTATGCTATCGAATAATGCATTACTCAGGCTCCAGTCTGTGAAATTCGCCGAGTTACGAGCCTACGAAAACACGTCCTCATGAATTGCCCAAAATGTAAAGATCGCATATCTCGTTGAAATTCCTCCGTGAGCGCTTGTACAACGCACCAATCAAGTCCTTTCACATTTTTAATGGATCTTATTGTGCTGGATTTGGTGCTTTGAGCTCTAGCCCAGAGGTGCGATAGTGGGAGCCGATCTCCCCCTACCTTCACTTTTGAGCTGGTACAGGGTGGCCACCTTCACTTTAGGAATAAAAATTTTTTCGCTGGACGATAAAGAAGAAAAATAAGCAAAACAAACGCAAAAAAGATTATTGAAAGCATATACTTATGTATATTGCGGCATATATATTTAAAAAAAGGTGTTCACTTGTTGATGATTTCTATATCATCAACCCAATCCACTCCATTTTCCACATCGCCTATGGAGTTCCCATAGGCTGAATTGTACGCCACTCCTTCTTGAGTATCTAATCACTCAAGAATGATTGGCACCTGTGCACCAGGAGTGTAGCCGAACGGCGGCAACTCCTTTTAAGCCATGTACCCCTCCTACGTTGTACATTGTACCCGGGCAAGCTCCGCCTTCTATTCGTGTATATAAGGAGCCCCCGACTGTATTATAGATCGCTCTCAACTAATCTACGCCAGTGTGAATAAATATTCCACACAACTTCGTCTACCCTAATTCACTTGGTACACACCAAATCACTAAATGGTGTATTTTGGAAGTAAAACTTAGCGAAACTGTACGTATTTTATTAATTAAATTTTGTTATAATGTACAGCGAAGAAAGTAGATCGATCCAGGCAGTAACGGCCGAGAACCAGAATTTTGAATAATTAACTGGCGAAAAATCATGCGAAATTTACCACTGTTATAAATCTGTTGTTTGAAGATGTCAGCAGTTGCGACTTTATAGGTTTTGCAGAGTAAATGGTGCTCTATCAGATAGTGAAAGAATCGAGTGGATTTGAGAGATAGTCGTTGAAAGCCAGAATTCTAAACATTTACACCATTTTTGCGCGTTTTTTGACAGTTGACAGTTAAACTCATGTAAATATTGAATATGAAAGTGTGTGATGTTGCGACTTTATAGGTTTTATAGAGTAAGGTTTGCCTTATCAGGATATATCTTAGCCATCCCGATCCATTGAAACGCCTCCGAGATCCAGAGTTTTGAAAAAATAGGTAAAAAAGCGCTTTTCAAACTTCAACAGCTCGTAATTCTTCAAAACTGCATGAGTCCAATACATTAAAGTGGGCTAGAAGGAGACTTTGTGATGAAAAGGCTCCCCCGGGCATAATTCGTAGGAGGCCGTAAACCCCCACACATTATATATCATCTGAAATGTCTTGATGGGAAGAATCTAACCCATGAAGTCGCAACATGACTCATGCAGTTCTGAAGAAGTTACGAGCTGTTGAAGTTTAAAAAGCGCTTTTTTACCTATTTTTTCAAAACTCTGGATCTCGGAGGCGTTTCAATGGATCGGGATGGCTAAGATATATCCTGATAAG